TGAGACAAAGATGTGAAAAAGGGGCAAAGAAGCATTTGTTCCGAATTAGAAAAGTGATACTAGCAATCCTACGTATTTTCTACGTACGACTAATCATAATTTTAAGGCGCGCAACTCCCATCTCTCTCGTTCACGACGCTCCGCGCACCTCGGAGTGACACATACACCTACCTGTCCCGGATCCATACTACGCAATTAGAAGATTGTTTGTGTAATCAATTGACAGCTAAATACTTTAAAGAACTGTATGTAAGAGACGTTGCTATTAATACTTCCAGTAGCTGACTTGCTGGGACAACTCTGGCTCGTACTCGATGTCATCGTCATAAGCAACCGATACATTGAGACCGTCAGCAGTTTGCTTCAACTCAGGAACAGTGCTGCTGTCGTCGTCGCCAGTAGTACTGTCTTCCAAGAGGTTGACTGAAGTGTTATCCTCTTGATCTGCTGGGTGGTCGATTCCCTCTTCAACTGGCTGTGAGGGCACATGGTTTCTTTCTTTCTCTTCTTCCGCATTCTTTCTGCTTGATCTGGCCTCGGAAGCAACACCGACGGGAGGACCTCTAGTTCCGTTGGGCTCACTGGTGGGTTGCTTAGGAATAGGACAACCCAYRTATCTTGTCAACSCARCRATATCTCTTGCAATCAGTTCACCRGTGAAGTTGCGTAAGACAATCTTGATATTGCCATTTCCAACGTCCACAAATTCTGGGATTGAGTTAGTATTCATATTGATTTTTGCTTTCTTTTTCGCTGTTCTCAAATTATGGTTGATATCCAGAGAAACAAAGAATCTCGATTGAGTATGTGTGCTATGTGAACAAGTCAAATTTTTGCTGACAGCGGACGCCCGCCAACTCCTCAAATTTCAAAGTGAATAAAAATTTTCAAATGATTTGTTTCGAGTTTTTCAGTTGTAACTCTCATCCGGAAGCTATGCCATAATTTCATACACTATCAAGACCAAAAGAAAGCCTCATAGAACTGGTACCATCATGTCGTTTGCAAACGTGAAGACATTTTATTGTGCCATGTGTTTCCGAGACCTTCTTAATGGAGAGAAACCCACGCGTTTCGCTGATGAAACTTTTCTTTGTGTGGATGAAGAAAGCGTCTTAAGAATATTCGATGGCCAAGGATTGAGCTCTTGGGTTTTCAGTACAGATCCGATGCCACAAGAGCCTTTGTTTACGATTGACTTGAAAGTCACAACATGCTGTTTTGACTTCAGAAGAGTTGCTAGTGCAAATGGAAACCATTTATTTGGAAGGATGAGGATCACTGGAGATTTTGGTTCTGGTGGTACTTCGGAGGAGAGGCTAATTTTCAAGTTTTCTCTACACGAATACAATAGAATTGGGCCTTTGATCCAGTCCTTTGTTTCGAATAGAGAATAAATATAAATCTTGCAGGTATAGCAATCCTATCATGATTGCTAATGACATTGCCTGCTCTAGGCAGCTAGCTCCGCTGTCCGTGCCACATGATTGAGTTTGGTTGCCAAATTGACGCTGCAAAGCGTCACTGTCCATGTCGCTACTGTCGCTCTCGAGCAATGGTTGCTAGTAGCGCCAGCAATGTCAATTACTGGTATTTGCTACTCTTGAGGACGCTCAACGCTGGGTGCAATATAAACAAACAATGAATAAATCAATCGACTAAAATAATTATAAACTAACTTTTCACTTCTTCTTGCTGTCTCTTTCACCAAATACTAGATCATAATATTCATTTTGATCGTTAGTACAGCAATACCCTTTTCCGGTCTTTCTCGTCATTTCTTTTCCAATTTTGATTAGTTGTTGACCCAAATCTTTCACTTTAGTACCTTCTGGGCAGAGGAAAATAGAAGCAGCCCCAGCAGGTCTTCTGGTTCTGCTGTTTTGAGCACAGTGTGGCTTCTGCACCACCTCATCATATGTAAACATGAAGTGCTGTGATATCGGCTTCTCATTACGGTCATAACTGTTCTCCCATGTGCTGCAATGCTGCAATTCATCAATATGTTTAGCAGCTATAGCAAACTTAGCTCGAACAGTGCGATCCTTCACACAGCTAATTGAAGTTGGCCTTGAATCGACTCTTCTTCTTTTGCTTCTGTTGCTGCTTGGAGTCTTTTTTGCTGTTTCCTCCTCCTGTGCCTTCAGTTCCTCCTGCACTTTGCTTGTTGCTTCTTTATTCTTCTTCCTCTTGTTATTATTGCCTCTTGTGGGCAAGAGATGCGAGCTCCTCTTCCGCATCATATAGGGTCTTCGACTTCCCTGTTTCTCAAGGACACGCTCAAGCTTTCCAATCTTTCCTGCTGCCTTGATTGCTTCTCGGAGTTCTGTTCCAATCTTTTGTGCTTTGTGAATCAGATCTTTTTTGGAAGGTCGAGTTCCTTTTGATCTTTCCCTCAACAAAGAAGCTCTCTTGCTTGCTTTTGCCGCAGCCTCTTCCCTTGCCTTGATCCGATCGGATTTCCTCCGAGTGAAGGGCATCTCGTCCTCGTCTTCTTCCTCCTCGCTGAGCACTGTATGTACAGTTGGGAATTCCTCATCCACTGTTTTCTTGCTTTCGTTATCAGTATCTTTATCACTGTCGTCCTTGCTGTCCTTCTTGCTGCTGTCCTCCCTTTCATCATTTTCAGCGGTGGCAGCTGCAGCAGGAGGAGGAGTATCTTGAATGCTGTTCTTGTTCTCGTAATCTGCTGCATCGTCGTCATTCTTGTTGAGTTTAGGAGCGTCAGCAGCAGCAGCGGCCGCAGCAGCACTATCTTGAGGAGGAGGAGGAGGGGGAGCCGGAGCCGGAGGGGAAGGAGGAGGAGGGGGAGGAGGACGACGAGGAGGAGGAGGGGGAGGAGGACGACGAGGAGGAGGAGGGGGAGGAGGACGACGAGGAGGAGGAGGGGGAGGAGGAGGAGGAGGAGGAGGAGGAGCAGAAGTATCTTGAAAGCTGATGTTATTTGCATCCTTATTATCAGTAGGATTCTCCGCTTCCTTAACTCCTGAATCTTCAGCAGCGCTACTGCCAGCGCTCTTCATAGTAGTGTTGTTATCAATCGTTGACGTGCCTTGGATTACTGATTCTTCGTTTCCCATCATGTTGTTTAAAGCAAGAAGAGCTTGTCTTTCCTCTGGTGACAATATGGCTCTGTTATCACTTGTAGCCATGGTGGTGTTTGCTGCCAGCAAGGATTGATTTTATGACAGATATCTTCCATCGACACGCCGAGTACAGTTCTAGTGCAAAGTGGTGTTCTTGCTGCTGCTGCAGCAGCAGCTGCTGCTGCTGCTTACAGTCACCAGCTATCGTGAAGGATGAAACCATTTTTAGTGTCTGTTGCTACCTTCCACGGTAGTCATAGCGTGGCAGCAGCCGTGGACAATGGTGCTGTATCGCAGCAGTAATAGCGGCGCTATCGATAGTGACGCCAACAGACAAGAGACCAGGAGGATAGCTGCTTCAGTTCATTGAAACGAGAGCCAGCAAAAGAAAAAAAACAAGCAAATACTGATTCCTAGTACAAATCTGACGTAGGATTCTACGAGAAATTTGGATATCAAGGGTGTATACTGTACAGTTTTCGATATTTTCGAAATTCTTGATCTGTCTAATTAGCCAATCAGATTGCTTGATTATAGTATTATCCCTAACTCTAAATTAACGCCAAAGTCGAACGAAAATGTCCAAAATAAGCATTTTGAACAGCTGTGTGACATGCGATGCGATGCGGGCAGTGAAAATAGCGCGGAAAATTCCGTTTCGGTCTAAAAATTTATCAAATTAAAAATCTCTCTAGTTTTTCACNTATTTGAAGTACAGTAACACCCAAAAACTTGTAATACTTCTGAATTACAGTATTTTCGTAATTTCTGCTTGTCGAAAACTTTCACGGTTTCAATGTTTTCGGATAGGTGGGATGGTTCTGTACCGGGTACGGTACGTATGGGTTGGTGGTCGTGACATGCGATGCGATGCGGGCAGTGAAAATAGCGCGGAAAATTCCGTTTCGGTCTAAAAATTTATCAAATTAAAAATCTCTCTAGTTTTTCACTGGATTTACGGTACGTACTTTTACTGCCTACCTACTGCACTGCTGGTACGCGTAATTTTGGATCATACGATGTTGTTACATCCGTTCGTAAAGTAGCATGAATTACACTCTTCACTCCATGTTTCCCGCTTGCACCATATTATTCGATTGAAAGTAGAGAGCTCAAAATGAAGGCCAAAGAGCTGAAGATCCTGCGGAAAGCGCTGGTAAAAGCGAATCGTTGCGAAGAGCTCCTCAAAGGATTCGGAACTGAGACCGTTCTTTCAGTGAACAACAATGCTAATTACGAAAACAAGTTGTCGGAATGCTCCGGCCATAATAGGAAGTATTGCATATCTATCATATTTTCACTCTCACGCCAGATGACAGAGAATAGATTCAAAGAATGCCTCGGTTTATTCGAAAAGAATATGGCAGAAATGTATATAAATAGCTCTTGGGGTCTCAACATGGAAGAAAAATCTGCGGAACTGAAAGACGACAAGGCCCGTTTTCTGCTTGCGCTCGACGATGACAAAAAGCTATCAGGGTTTGTTCATTTTCGCTTTGAATATGACGAYGAAGAGAGTCCGACCTGCGGTGTCTTGTATATTTATGAAATCCAAATCGAATCAATATATCGCAGATGTGGAGTTGGAAGGAGATTGATGAGAATGACTCAACGCATTGCTAAAGAGCAATCAATGACAAAAATACTGCTGACAGTGTTCAAAAAGAACCGCCAGGCCATGACCTTTTATAGAGACAAATTGGGCTACGGCATAGACGAATCGAGTCCAAGCAAATTTGGAGATCACGATGTCGATTATGAAATTCTTAGTCTGAAGATTTCTTAGAACGTTTTCATTAAGTTGGGGTTGATCAAGATAATCAGATATTGCTGCTGCATGCGTATTTGCGATTATGGCCCAGAAAAGAATTGAAAATTAAACAAATAGAGATTCTACTTAAGTAGTTCATGAACTGTAGATCCATTTGGTTATTATACTTGTAGTATCGATGTGGCGTTTGCCGTGACAAGTCAAAAAGACTTGGACAGTATTGTCGCGTTCTCGAATTGTCTTTTTGTTTGAAATAGAAATCGATTTTTGGTGTATTTGAGTTGTGATTCCTGGGCCTTCTGTAGCACCATTCATCTTGATTGAATGGATTATTCCAAAGAAGTATGCGCTGGTTTATTTTCTACACTGGCGTAATGTATGATCGATCACGATTTTGTAGCTAGTTTCCAACCTAGTCAAGAACGGCTCAAGGTGTGGGTTCCTCTAGAGATGGGATTTGCTTGTCACCTGGGAGCGGCACTGTTCTTGAAATATCTTGAGTTCGGTACCACGAAAATGGAATTATAGATAACTTTTCCCATTTGTCTACGTACGCACGGGTCGTTAAAGTGTCGTAGCCGTTGTCCTCGATCTTGTCAAGAATTTTTCCGTAAGCATCCAAGGCGCTTTGMACAGGCAATCTACTCTCTTCGGAGAGCATAAACACCCCACGACGTGCTCGTTCATAATACATTCTGGCTCGCGCAATTTGAAACTTCATCATGTTGATATAGTTTTCGTCTACTCTCTGCTCAAATAGTTGTTCTTTTGTGACACCAAATCGTTCCATATCTTCAATCGGGAGATAAACTCTACCACGCGTTGTGGCGTCCTCACCAACGTCTCGAAGAATGTTTGTAAGTTGAAAGGCAACTCCAAGCGACAGTGCAGGTTCTCTGAATTTCAATTTTTTTCGAATTGTAAAATAGAAGGAATGACAAAAAAGATTGAGTGGAATACGCAGGTCTTTCTCGCATATTTGTGTCAGTCATTTATGTTGGCAATACTCACTTTGCGATTATTTCGTCGTAACCTTCGGAGCATCCGAAGACTGGCAAGCACATCAATCCAACAGTTCCAGCTACTCTATAGCAATACAAATGAAGGTCGTCGAATACATCGTATGTATCTGTTCCAAGCTCCGGAACGTCCATGAGCATTCCACGTATCATGTCAGCAAACGGCGTTATCGGCAGCGACGGATACTTGACCAAAACATCCAAGAGACACAGGTCAAAAACATCTTCCACCTCTCCGTATTTCCAAAGGTTTTCTAAGCGTGTCTCCCATATGCCGAGGTCCGAGAGCATCTCATCGTCATTGTCCCTTGGGGCATCAACGATCTCATCAGTTCTGCGACACCAGACATAAATAGCCCAGATCGCCTCGCGTTGTGCTTCTGGCATGAGCTGCGTTCCCAAGTAAAATGTTTTTGCAAATGCACTGGTCACTTCCCCCGATTCGACGAATGCTTTCTCCAGAATACTTGCTACGCCTGCCTTTTGTTCGCTACCTATTGAAGGTGAGCTATGGATTTCGTCATAGGTAACCGCAACGGAGCCTGGGCGTTTTTCAAAGAAACCTGATGCAGCTTTGGACCTCAGATAGGCTGCACATTTCTGAATCTCGTCATCTGATGCGAATAATCCTAGGTCGTGCCCTACTTCGGCAATGACATCGGAATTGATCCCAAGTATTTTATCGGATAGGTGCGTGTTCTTCAAGGTCCCATTTGCGATTTCCTCCTTTGCAAGTTTTAGAGCGTTTTCAGCGCGGGAAGGACCCCGAGTAGACTCAAAATCAATAACTTTTCCACCCTCAAGAATCTTTCCGGCAACCTTTTCATCATCTTCCGATTTGGTTGACAGAGAATAAAGTGCCTTATTCGCACCCGATTTGCCGGGGGACTGAGTGATACGCCTATTGGTATTGCCACTCTGAGATGTGAATGCATCAACAAAAGTTGTCGAAGCCAGGAAAGCCATCCAGGCCACGAACGAGAGTCTCATTTTAAATTGTTATTCGCTACTAATTCCGTTCCGTTGGGTTTCGATGTTGTTTCTTTTCAGAAAGATAATCGAGTGTGATGAGCAGATATCTCAGCTAATCCGATCCGATTCAACGTACTGTTACAATGGAATAGGTTCAAAATGTTGTAGATCTAGGTTGGTTTTAAAGGTACTCTCTGAGTTCGACTGCACTATGATGGAGACTTTCTTGAACTGCTGACAGAGAGGAGTAATAGTGGGTCGTCTAGGAGAAAACGGGAGGCAAACGATGCTCTCGACGAAGAAAAGTTCGGCACTCAAGTTGAAGTGTTACTGCGTAGAGGAGATTGAGAATTGAATTGATAAATAGATGGAAAACTGTAGTAGGGGAGGAATGGAATTATTTTTCTTTACCAACGTTTTACGCGTGTAATTTTCAACTTTCCTCCTGATTTCTATTGAGCGATTGGTATCAAGATGTAATACGTGTTCCATGACCGATTATCAATCAACAAAGTGTTTCTTCTTTGTTGTCTATTCCTACGTATTCGTGCCAGTGGAAATTACGAGTGCTGTCGTTCTCGTACGTAAATCGTGCAGATTCTTATTCGAACGCCACCAAGATGTGGTTCAAGGTTGTTTAACGTACGAAGGACGTACGTAAATCTACGTCGACAGCCTTGGTTCCTCACTTGACGTCCATTTCGTGAACAAATCAGTCCCACGACAATGGCAAATGCGCACGAGCGCGCATAAAAGTCGACTCCGCGTAACCATTGACGACGTCGAAGCTTATCTGATGCCGACCGGGCGTCAACGCAACGGCTCGAACGTCTTTCCTCCTCGGCTTTTTTGGTACGGTTGCTTCGTACTCAAGCTCCCAAGAATCATCTCTGTCCGCTAGCTCCTCACAACAAAATCAAGGAGACATTGTAGATTCTTGATCGTCTGTCAACAAAAACTATTAAGCGAGAAATTGTGTTGTTGTCATTTTCTGAACGCGTACTGTAATAAAGACACTTTATAGTATTCAGGTTCGCACTCGATCACAACACAGGAATTGTTCGATACACAGTCGTTGAGGCTGTTGGGATTCGCAGTCATTCGTGTGAACTGATATCTGCAGCCATCCAGAAAAGAGAAGCCACGCGAAAGAAGACCGAGAAGCAAAGACCCGTGCATTGCTCATCATTTCTATCGTGAATTGATCGACCAACGAACGCCAATCATCGAAAAATCTCGGAAGGAAGACTAGAAAAAGAAAAGGAAAATGGAGGCCGGAACCTATGTTTGGTGCTCGGCCGACGCCAAGGGCGATGAAGCCTGGATACTTGCCGAGGTCATTAAGAAGGGTGACACCGAAATTGAACTCCAGCAAGTTGACAAAAAAGAGAATGTCTTCACCCGTGAGCTAGATGCCAAAGATGAAGACTCGGGAGCTGTAAAATTCAAGGGCGTTGAGCTTGCAAATGCCCCCCTCAGCGAAGAGGAACGCGCCGCCGGTGCCGACAACGATCTTATCGCACTTCCTCACTTACACGAGCCTGCTATTCTTCATGCCGTCAGCGAGCGTTTCTCACACGGTTCAATCTATACCTGGACTGGGCCAGTAATCATCGCTGTTAACCCTTTTCAACGACTACCATTGTACACGGATGTAAGTATGTTTTGATCGTATCATTGTGTGCACTTCCAGTCATACAACGCCAATGTTGGTCTAATCGTTTTGAATTCTTTCTCTTGATTCTCCAACGTCACAGGAAATTCGGGAGCATTACAGAACAGAAGGTTTGTTCCGATCGCAAGGGATGGGAAGTGATGGTGAATTAGAACCCCACCCTTTCGCCGTAGCTGATAAATCCTACCGTCAAATGATGTCAGAAGGTCGCAAATCGCAAGCCATTCTAATTTCAGGAGAGTCCGGAGCAGGAAAGACAGAAACAACGAAGATTGTTATGTCCTATTTGACAACTCTTGGAGCCATGGGCTCCCACGAAGAAGAGAAAAAGGATGGCGAACTCTCTGTGATGGAACGAGTTTTGCAGACAAATCCTGTCCTCGAAGCATTTGGTAATGCCCGTACACTTCGTAATGACAACTCTTCCCGATTCGGTAAATTTATTGAACTTGGATTCAACAGAGCCGGACAATTGATGGGAGCTAAAGTCGAAACGTATCTCTTGGAAAAGGTTCGTGTCACCTTCCATGCAACTGGTGAACGTAATTACCACATGTTTTATCAGCTACTCCGCGGTGCTGACCAGGAGCAGAAGGAAAAGTACGGATTATTGGAGGGAGATACAGGTGGATTCGAACTGGCCAACTGTTTCCATTATACCAAACAGGGTGGTGCTCCAGAGCTTCGCGAATACACGGATGAAGCGACGTTTGCGTACACGATCAAGGCCATGCGTGCTCTTGGATGGGCAGAAGAACTCATCGACAGTGTTCTGGCTCTCATTGCAGGATTGCTGCATCTTGGAGAAATTGCATTGATAGCAAAAACAGCCGATTCCGGACTGGATGTTGCCGCTATAGAAGACATGGATTCTCTCACAAGAACAGCAAATCTTCTTGGTGTTGATGTGGAAAAAATCGCCTTTGCCCTGACACAAAGAGTTGTCGTTGCCAGAGGAGAGGAAATCAAAACAGAATTGACTCTTGAAAAGGCGATCGATGCGCGCGATGCACTTGGAAAAACAATTTACGGGTCCCTCTTTCTCTGGGTGGTGCAACAAGTCAACAAAAGCATCCTTTGGGAGAATGACTCAGATATTCGATCCTCCATCGGTGTTCTTGATATCTTTGGATTTGAATGCTTCAAAATCAACTCTTTTGAACAGTTGTGTATCAACTACACTAACGAAGCACTCCAGCAACAATTCAACAAGTTTATTTTCAAATTGGAACAAGAAGAGTACGAAGCGGAGGGTATCCAGTGGGCTTTCATTTCTTTCCCGGATAACCAGGACTGTTTAGACACAATTCAACAAAAGAAGACAGGTATTTTGGCAATACTCGACGATGAGTGTCGTCTTCCAAGAGGTTCTGATAGAAACTTCTGCAAACGATTGCTTGATCAGTGGCTCCCAGAAAAGGGGCAAACAGTTTCAGAAAATACCCGTATCCATTCGTCGAAAATGCAACAAGGAAAATCGATGTTTTGTGTGAGGCACTTCGCCGGTCTGGTAGAATACTCTGCGGAGACGAGTTTCATGGAGAAGAATAAAGACGAAATTCCTCTTGCGGCGCAAAATCTCTTCGAGACAGCTCCTTCCGACCTCATTAAGAATTGCTATGAAATCCAGAAGAAAGCAACCGAAGAAAAGAAGCCAGAAGATGCGTCAAAAAGGAGAGGGCCAGCCAAACAAAAGACTGTTGGAATGCAATTCAAACAGCAACTTTTAGGTTTGATCGATAATGTTGAAAAAACCGATCCTCACTACATTAGATGCCTTAAGCCGAATGATGCCGCAAAACCTAATTTGCTGACTCGAAAGCGTCTTACGGAACAGCTAAGATATGGTGGTGTGCTCGAGGCTGTCCGTGTAGCCCGAGCCGGATACCCTGTAAGACTTGTACATTCCGCATTTTTCCAAAGATTTAGAATGTTGTTGCCTCATATCCCAGAAGAGCAAATCCCYTGGAGTTTGGAAGGCGAAGAAGCGCAAGAACTCTGTACTAAATTGATTGTCACATGTCTTGAAGAAGGAAAGAAAGCAAAGGGTAAAGGAAAGTTGGATCCAAACGAAGCTGGAATTAGTAGATTCGAGAAAATCCGGCGAATGCAGAGGCAGCCCGACCCGATGGACTTCCCTCAATCAGATGTACAACTTGGAAAAACTAAGGTATTTATGAGGAAGCCTCCTCATGATGCATTAGAGTCGCATCGTGTGTTCCACCAGAGTGCAAGCGTCACCCTGATTCAATGCTGGGTACGAGGTCTAGAACAAAGAAAGAAGTATCTTATCGCACAAGATGCACTCCTTACAATCCAGCGTTGTTATCGCGGTTACAAAGGACGGGCAAGGTACGTACACAAATTGAGTTCGGAGATGAAATTTATTAGTGAAGAAGTCGGTTCTAACCATTTTTTCTTCTCCGTTAATCAGATGGACGTCCTTACGAAGGGCTTCAGCGTCGTTGCTTCTTACTAATCATTTCCGGATGCAGATTAGTAGGCGCCGCTTTGCACGTGCCAAGAAAGGTACAACGAAGTTCCAAGCCACATTCCGAGGAGTACAAACCCGTCGGCTATTGGCTGCCATCAAGGTGGAAACCTATTTCAGAAAATGTCGTGCGAATAGAGCTTTCAAGATGCTCAGACGAGCATCTATCGCGTTGCAATGTAAGATCCGAGTTAGCATGGCGAAGAAGGTTGTTGCCGGTCTCAAGGGCGAACAGAAGAATATCGGAAAGCTTCAAGAGAATAATGAACGTTTGAAGATGGAAATGAACAGTTTGAAGGCTATGCTTGCAGCGCAGGCAAAGGAAGGAGCCTCAAATGCTGCTCACTCGAACGAATTGAAATTGAAGCAGGAAGAAATCACGAAGCTTGAAAATCGCATTGCTGAGCTTGAGGCCCAGCTTTCCGAACAGAAAGCACTTGTTGTCAAACTCGAGGTTGACATGCAGAAACAAAGGGAACAAGCAGCTCATGATCTTGCCAATGCTGCTCATAGAAGACAGCGATCCGCCGGTCCACATTCACCGAAACACAGCAAAGCCGCTACTGTTGACCCTGGTGCCACCCCTCAAATGCCGTTGCCACCTTCAGATTATGTTAGCCCTGATGTGCTGGCAAAACATAAGAAGAAACTTTCAAAACTTGAGAAAAACCTTCGAGCAGAGAAAAAGCTTCGTCAAGAAGCGGATGGCGAAATCATCAAGTTACGTGCCGCTCTCAACGGCGTTCAGCTCAGTGAAGCTGAAATTAAGGATCTTCTTTCGAAGAAACAAGAGGAGACGAAGACTACTGTGAGGTACGTGGCGGCAAAACAGTCAGCGATAGCATACAGAATTGCATATGCGATGACTGGGCGCATATTGTTTGTCTAAGTTTCTGTGTACACGTCAATTTGTGTATGTTGTAGAATTGTGGTTATTGTTGTAATTTTATTGGGGTTGAACTTGGCAATCGTTTTGTTCTCTTTGCGTCGACGATCATCTTCCATAATGACGCGACATTTGGTTGAAAAACTGAAAATCGAGCTTGAAATGAGTCTCCTTTGAWTTGATATGGTTTTCTTTTGTAAATTAGGGGAATTGATATAATTGTGTTTCGGTTTTCTAGACTTCAAAAAACTAACAAATCTTCATCCTGGCGTCTCATTAACAGAACCGGAGAAACACCGGAAATTGCAGGTGCAGAACCAGAACAACCGAAGTCGAGTTTGGCAAGAGCAATGGAAGGAATTTCGTCTACTTTCGGAGGAGGTGAGAAACCGAAGGAAAAACCCAAAATGTCCATGGACTATCTTTTACCAAAGATTCGAAGAGGATCGAAGGCACAGGAGAGCAACGAGGATACTGTTGTTGTCGGTTGGAAGGCAGATGTGAAGAGCAGAAAGCAGAGAGAAGAAGTTCTTCGGGACGACGTGCATCGTTTCGAGTCTCATATGAAGGGTTTTGTTCATTCCCTAGAAGACGGCGTAGATGTGACCATGTGGCAAATGAACCGTGGCGAAGAGAAGAATGCACCCGCCGAATTTGCTTTGAAAGCATCGCATGTTACCGTTAGAATTCACAGAAAAGGTGATATGTGGGTACAGGCCATGGTGAATTTCACTATGCGTGGTGGATATCTGAGTAAAGCGATCGGGCGTAACCGTGGCGGTGAGTTTTTTTGTGCACTTTGTACTATTCATTTTTTGATCATGCACTGATCCTTGTTTTTGTTTTTCACAATACTTAAGCCAACAAAACTGCTCTTGAGCCTTTGTCCATGCATGATATTTTGGAGGTCAAGGCGGGATGCTCTGGTTATGATCACACTGAGCTTCCATCCGCTGCTGGACGGTCGAAGTCAAAGGATGGCAAGAGGAAGACCGAGAACCGTCAAGGAAGTCTCTTCATCACGTTGACCGCTACGCCAACACCTATGGCTGCCACCCGGTCTTACATTCTTAGATTCAAGTCGAGATCTGCAAGAAACGAATTCCTTAATGGTATGCGCTGCGTTATGGCTGACATGCAAATACACGAGGGTGTCAGTATATCTGGTCTACAAACATCTACCGAAGCTGATGGRTACGACAGTGATGAGGAAGTTATGGTTCCTCTTGGAGCTGTGCATAAGGTAATGAATCGTGAACGTGAAGCGTACGATCGAATTCTCTTGTTGCTACTCCAAGGTCACGAAGATATCAAGGAGAGAGAAGACGAGCTTCTGAAGTTGCGCAAGAAACTCGAAAATGTTATGGAAGAGTCTGCTGAAAAGGATCGTGTACAGGCGAACGATTCTCGTTTGATTATGCAGCTCAGCAAGAAGTTAGAAACCCTTCTCATGGATAACGAAGATTTGCGAGATCAAAACGACCGTCTTAATACTCGGTTGATTGCTGCAGAGTGTGAAAAAATGAATTCTTAATAGATATTTAAAATGTCAGTTCTAATTGTGAAAGAAATATCAAAATATTATTTGATTACACGTTTAATACATCGAATTTTCAATTGCATTTCGTTGTTGTACTAAAGTAGATGAAATAGACTGCTCGTTTGGATGTATTATTTTCACCCTTCAACTTAAAGTATCAGACATCTTTTCTTTCGAGCTGTTAAACTGTATACCGCACGACCGAATCAGTAACGCTCAGGTTCACAAATATCTTTGAAGGCTCGACCTGAGGTTGCGTAGGAATGCAAGCAGGATAAAAATTCATTAGCGAACTCAAGTGTAAGGTACTGCTACAAGAACAATGTAAAGCTGCGTTAGATGATTGAGAATTTACTTACGCATACGACGAGCTAGTGTTGACATATTATCTCGATCTGACGATGCATTGGTCTCTTCCAGAATTTCTGTCAAATTCTCAGCAATGATGTTCGGATTGCAACCAGAAATATCATAGTTATCTTCATCGTTGATAAAAAGAGTAAATGAAAATAGTCTCGACGGATCATGAGGGTCAAGCTGGTCGAATTTGAACCTGAACGCAAATGAAATAAAATCAAAGCAGGACGAAAAGCAGAAGTTAATTAAACATTTATGCACGAGTGCGAATTCAAATACACAAATATTCAATCATAACTTACTCCAATTCTCCATCTCCGGTTTGCTCGAAATCCAAACCAAGCTTTTTATAGTTGACAACGCCTCTCGTTAGATCATCGATGGTTGTGTTTTTCGCTTCTTCCGCCCTTCGTTTCAATACAGCTGCATCACTTGCTCGAATACTCTGTTTTGATTCCTCAAGCTCGATATCTGTCGGTATTGAAAAAGGACAGGGARAATCGTGTACTGGTTTAGACGATACAATGGTAGCAAAATACCTTAATGTGAATCATCCCATAGCTGTGACTTACCCTTCACTCTTTTTTCCCTATTATCTCGTTCTGTCTTCAATCTCAAAATCTCGACCTGTACTTTTGTAGACTCCTCTTCCAATGATATCCTTCTAGAAGCGATGTTTTCTTTATTGCTTTCGCTGTTGTCGCCCTTTCCTTCCTTTACTCCTGATATTAAATTATTTGCTCCGCGTTCTCGTTGAACACTTGCTAGTTCTGTTACCTGAGCGTCAATTGCAGCTTGCTGTTGCATCAGTGTATTGTTGTACGACTTAGCTCTGAGATCGGTTTTCGATTTTTCATGCTCTGCCCAAGCCTCTATCTTCGATTCAAATGCGGAAATCGACTCCATGAGAGAGGAAGTGAACCCGAGATCGGTGGCCCCTGATTTTCGCTCAATCCCATTCTGGAATCCATCAACGTCGTCGCCGCCATGACCTGATTCAGAAAGTGGAGGCATGATGAGATGTTTCTTTGTTGGTATTGAAATTCGTAGTACTTCGAAGTAAAGGATTGCTCTTTTCGTTTCGCTTTCTTCTGGCACCAGTACTCGTACTGCTTCATTGACATAGATGCTGAGATAAAGCTGCTTGAAGTATTACAGTACCGTACGGTATCGTGAGAGTTCTATTGTTTCTGGTTCTGTTTCCTGCAAATGAACTTAGTTTTGAAATTTTTGAATTGAACAACCGTTATTTACAGTTTATTCCTTCAAGTCGAATGGGTCGAATGGAAACAACAAATGCAAGATCGCTGCGTCAAGTCGTGAAAAGAAACACGATTCGTAGCTCTGAGATCTCAACCGTGCAGTTTGATGATCTATTGATCTACAGTAATCTACAGTAATATTTCCTCGTTGGAAATCACAGTAAGTAACTTTTCCCTCGAAGTGCACAGCGCTACGGCACAAGGGGGATTTTTTAGAACTTCGTGCAGACGCATGTGCAAAACCGAACGGTCATGTTTTTCCTGCCGAAATCTTCGTTGCCGTTGTCATTTCRAGACGGTCGATGAATGGGAATTGAAAGGAATTAGTTGCTCATCACCAGACAAATCGTCAAAAGAAGAAAACCCCAAACCTTCCAGTTGTGAGATAACGAACTACAAACAAATTAAAAATGGTATTTGGCTGGGGATTTAACGCGAACAAACTCAAGCCTCGTAAGTAGCATGAAATTGCCGGGCTGTCCTTGGCAACCTTCCTTTGAATCAGAATCAATTTTCTATCCTTTCATKTTCTGAGTTGTTCCAATGATTCTAATACAATGCGTATAATCACTTTGATGTTTAGAGTTGAAGATGGCGGTTCACCGTTTTCAGATGTCAAGCAACAAAAAGGCCGCACTGCTGAAACAAAACATGAGAGAAGTTGCCGTTCTCCTTGCCGAAGACCCCCCGAAAGAGGAAAAAGCCCGAATAAAAGCTGAAGCTTTGATTCGTGATGACTATGTAAGTTAATTTCAACTTCTTCTGGTACATTAGCTCTAGTGTCCACTCACCGATTTTTGCTCCTTTTCTTCGTTACTTTCTCGTTTGTATGGTGTTGTGATTCCAGATGATCGAAGCGTACGATATTCTTAGTCTTAATTGTGAGCTCCTGAGCGAGAGGATCAAACTGATTCAATTTAGCAAGGAATGCCCGCCAGATCTTATTTCATGTATCTCGACATTGATGTACGCTGCGCCACGGGTTGATATTCCTGAGCTGATAGAAATTCGGAAGCAATTTATAGCAAAATATGGGAAGAAGTTCGACGAAGATGCAATGGCAAATACAGGGGGCATCCTGAACGAACGCGTTGTAGCTAAGCTTTCTGTCCAGCCTCCAGCTGCATATCTTGTACAGACATATTTGGAACAAATTTGTGAAAAGTTTGAAGTAGACTGGTCACCCAATTATCGTCTATCAGCAGAGCAGATGGGAGAACCAATGGCACCTCCATCTGGGTTTTCTGTACCAATAGGACAGGGGACGGGTCTCGGGCATGCCGCGCATACTGGAATGACGGTGACCGGAGACGACGACACAACTTACGATGGAGGACAATCTTTGCCACCTCCGAGAGCACCTGGTGCTGGTAATAACAATGCAAAAGTGAAATCCAATCAATCAGAATTTCACATTCCATCCGCACCGGGCACATCCAATGCTCCTTCTTTAGATCTACCGCAAGCGCCCGCTATGACAAATACAAGTGATGCAACCAATAAGGATGACGACGACGAGGATGACAACCAAAACAATGGCGACTCGTCTGGATCTCAGTCGCAACCATCGAGTGGGAAAGACACAGCTTCGTACAATGACTTGGCAGCAAGATTCGAAAATCTGAAAAATCTGTAGGCGGTCTATTCTGTAATATGGTCGACTTCTTTAGTTCCTTGCACTTTGATGCGTCGTGTGTCTGACGCAAATCAAAATACTAATGATCTAAATTGCAAATTTAATGATTGTCCTGAAAACCTGATGAAGTTAATCACCGTTCTTCTAATTCAAATCATTCCACTGATTATTCGATGTGATTCCAATTTAGTCGAAATGCAAATATCTATCTAACGCTGGACTCGAGACGTGGCCGTTCGAGTTTGTTTTGAATTCTGGCGCTGTTGCTGTGTCTGGCGCTGAGCTGCCTTTTGCGCACTACGAGCTTTGATATCTCTATAGAAGCTCTCGTACTTCCTTAATACGGAATCCTTTTTCTTGCTCTCTTCTTTCTCTTTCTTCAAATCTCTGGTCAATTTTTCAATGAGTTGGTCTTTCCGTTGTAGCTGGTCAGAAACAGAAGCATTCTTCATAAATTCACTCGTATTAACAGGACCGCTCCCATTGCCCTTTCCGGTGGGGTTTTCCTGCCGGAACTTTTCCAGAGCTTTTTTGAGCGAATTGAAGCGTTGGCCGTATTCTGATTTAAATCGCTTCATGGTTTCTCTCGCAGCTTTTGCTTCTGCCCGTGCAGCTTGGAGTTCCTCTACTTCTCTCAAAAGAGCAGCGTTCTCGTCTCCCAAGGTTTTCAAAGAGTCCATCAGGCGCATAATTTGCTTTGTATTTTGTGTTGACTGACCACTCGAGATTTCGTTGATTGGTCCGCCTTCAATCCCTCGGACTCCGAGTGACATCACCGACGAGGTCAAAATTTGCGATGCAGTGTTGGTATTTCCCCACCAGCTGGATTCCAATCCCTGTGCATATTTGTTGCTCGGTACTGGTGCAGCTCCGATTTGGGATGGGTGGTGGACCGGTCGGCTAGCGGGAGCTTGTACTCGATTGGCTCGTGCTCGGACTCCCGCAGTGCCTTGTTGGTTGTTGGCAATTTGTCTGGGATTGTTAGGAGTGCCCCACATCGAGGAAGCCATATAAGAGCTTGATCCTGGCGGTACGACCATGAAGCTACCATCACCCATCATTGAACCCTTCATTCTATTTTGCATCCTGGTATCTAGTGACGAAATTGAATTTCCGAGCTCTGGTGCCATATCAATATCTCTGAGTTCTCGTTCTAGCTCCATCATCACATCAATTGGATTGCTTATGTTCTGTTCTTCAGCGACAAGTAGAGTCCCTTCATGATCATTTCTTATATCATCGTTTTTCTTCTTCCGTGCACCTTTGCTGTCGTTCAGTACGGATGTTAGTCTATTTTTTGTTGTTGCGAGTTTTCCTGTCGTTTCGTTTTCTGCGCTTCCCAAGAATTGAGAGTCGGACAGATCTGCTTCATGAGGATGGCTAGAGAGAGCACCTCGGACAGCTGCTCTCAGACGCTCTTTGTGCGATGCGGCAGCAGGTACAGGGTTATCTCCCGAGTCTCTGGAAGAAGGAGAAAGTATTTGTCGAAGTTCGGCTGGATTCAATTTAACTATACCCTTCAACGCAATCGCAGACTTTGCTTGAGTCTGGCTGAGAAGTAAAAGCGAGCTTGCCAGAGGAGCTGTCATTCAATAATAATAGAGATTTTAGAAGAACATAATCCACGTCAACCAAATGTGAGCTTCCTTTGGTTCTTTCCAAATCCAAGATGAAACGTTCGCGTTGTGTACATAATTACTCACGATTTCTGTCTCGAATGACCTTTGCAATATCCTTGTACAATGTTGCTGCCTTTGTGTGATACTCGAGCGCCGAAAGCAAATCACTGGAGAAAAGAATAATTAGTTTTGATCCTGGGTCTTGACATTTTTTCGAAGTCGGATCAAACTCTACTTACCCATTTTTCTTTGCCTCTGAGGCCTTTAATGCCATCTCGTTTGCTGATTCTGTTTTGTTCTTGAGAAGCAAAAATTCAAATCAAGCAGTCCGGTGAGTATCCATATTTAGCGTCAAAAATACGTTCTATTTCCTGTTTCTCATCCTCCCTTTCGAGATTTCGATATTGTTCCATACTTACCAATATCGAACAACCATCGTTTTCCTGCATTCCTCCAATCAGGACCGCCAGAACATCTCCTCTCACCTGGTCTTGTGGTATGCCAAAGTCTTCTCCTTCCAGCAACACGCCGTCCTCCCCAGCTTCTATTTCAGTTACATTGACATAAGTGAAATCGTATTCGGGATCTCCATACCCGCCATCTGCCATGCCACCGGTATGTTCTTCAGAAGCACCAGGTATCACCACCAGTTGTCCTTGCTGGTGCTGGTGCTGTTGCTGGTGTTGTTGCGATTGCGCATGGTGATGAGAAGGCAGTAGAATTTCTTGGGGTGTGTTGGGAATTAGCGGACCGCAATGATCAGGAATGATGTGGAGATTGTTCTCGGTCGAGTGGATGAAACTCCCTTGAGAGCTTGCCGTGACTAGGGAGTCTGATTCCGATTGCTGGAGCGAATTATTCCTTGCACCATTGTCTTCTGTTCCAACATCTGGAGACTCAACAGCAAATGGCAATTCCATCGTGTTGTACGCAACCTTGCTTTCTCACGCTCCCGCAGGACTATGCTTTGGAGTTGCAGATTGTGTAGCTGTGATTGGTCCTATTTCTTCGTTTCACGAATGCCCTCCAAACCCTTAATTCACGGCCCTGGCAACAAGGAGGAAAATTCCAGCACTGCCTATCCTTGTTGTATCCGGTGGAGCTTGTGATAGGTAGGTCAGATAAAAATATGGAAAGCAAATAAGCACAGAAATGTTCTCGTTTCAATATTATCGTTGATAGTCTTCAGAATGAAATCTGCAACGCGTCGTCGTCCCAAAATACAGAATCCATCGAAAATGGTTTTCACCGTTTTCTTTTGGGTAATTATTTTCGAATTCCAGTGCGAGTACTGGTACAGGGTACGATACTTAAAGTTTAGAGTTGTCCTAACAATTCTCAACTTCGATCTGAACCCTACCGTAGTATGTCCGGGAATGAATGCGTTTTGATTCGTGTGTGTGGGGGGGGGGCTCCGAAATAATTTGTGTAACACGTTAGATTTTTTCCAGAACCCTTTCTCTGTCGTCATAGGCCAGTCGCACATCTTTAATGGTAGTCAGCGTTCATCATCGTCAAGTTAAAACCCAACCTGTTCATCTCAACGACAAATCACACATCGTACGGTACCAGAATTGTGAATTGTGCAATTGAGTAATTGGTCGTAGTAAGCCAGCTCTAGCGTTGCTACACCATCAAATATCGAAATCTCTAGAGAATCACTGGAGAATCACTGCGCGGATACTCATCGCAAAAAGCAACGACTGCCATGGTGATTTGGAGAACGAGCTGCGCGTGTCTCGCTGTGGCATCCTTGGCCGTGGCTGCTGTGAACGCTTTTGTAGCGGAACGTGCCTCTACCGGCGTTCCATCTCGATTGCTTTCGCAGGCATCGGATGATGCTGATGGCCCTGGACTATCGAGACGGCAAGTTGGAGAACTAACGGTTGCTGCTTTGGGTCTAGGAGTTTCGTTCGTCGGTACCAGAGAGAACAAGCCTACCGATTACGGGTTGTGGGGTGTCCTTCCCGTGGGAACCTACAAGACAAAGAAGACGCTTATCAAGGAAATCGTTCCGGATACTATATGGACATTGGATCAAAAGTTTGGTATTCTAAATGTTCAAGTTCCAATTCGATCGACTGTTGTCAAGCTCAAAGGCGGTGGATTGTTTCTCTACAACCCGGTGGCTGCAACCCCAGAATGCGTCAACATGCTCAAAGAACTGATTAAAGCTCATGGCCCATTAAAACACATCGTCGTTGGATCTGTTGCGTTGGAGCACAAGGCGTACGCGGGTGTACTGGCGCAAAAGTTTCCCACGGCTGATGTATGGCTTGCCCCGGGACAATATTCATTCCCGGTCAATCTTCCAAATCCCTTTTTGGGGTATCCTTTGTCACGAACCAAGACCATTCCGCAACGCACCGAGGATGCCCCGGAAGAATGGAGAGAGACATTTGATTTTTTGACTCTTGGCCCCTTCAAGAGTAGAGATGGAGCATTTTCCGAGACAGTGTTCCGTCATAGGGAATCAAAAACTCTCATTGTTACGGACACCGTGTTGGAAGTGACGGACGAAGTTCCAGAGATTCTTACTATTGACCCGGCGCCTTTGCTGTATCATGCGCGAGATACTGTTACCCAGGTTGTCGAGAACAATGAAGCCACACGAAGGCTTGGTTGGCGTCGTGTCGCGCTGTTTGGTCTTTTCTTCACCCCCAGTGCTATCGATATCAAGGACGCCGACGTGGCTTACCAAGAACGCAGAGCCGATATCAACCCCGATTTCTTGGGAATCTATCCGTGGGACTGGGTCAGAGATGATACATTGAGCTTTGATGCTCTCAAGGGAGGACTCCTGTGCGCACCAATCTTGCAAGCTCTCATTCTCAATCGAACGCCCATTCAGGTCCTCGACTTTGCCGATGAAGTTTCCAAGTGGGACATCGATAGAATCATCCCGGCGCATTTCAAGAACGATCTGAAATACGGTGGGGCAGACTATCGAAAAGCGTTCTCGTTCTTAGAARCCAGTGGTGTGCCCAAAGGCTTGCCAAAACCGCTGGATGCTGACATGCAATTTCTGAAGGAAAGCGAAGCGGGCTTGATCGATTCAGGAGCGATCGTCCCATGCCCGCCGTTGCCCGGAGGGAAGTTTACGAGAGACGAAATCCTTGCGCAAACCGTTCTCAAGTCTTTGGTGCTATAATTGTGCTAATGGTTTTTTAAAAATTAGTTTATAATTTTTCATGAGTAGCTTCAAAACGCCTCTTTCGTTGACGCTGGGCGTAGTCGTATGGTGCCTTGAACTGGATCAACCGCGATGCAAACGACCTCGATCTTTTGGCCGATACGGAGAGACTTGTTCAGGAGCTCTTTCGTACCGCCAGAATGGTTTCGAATCTCTTTCTTGCTCGAAAGCTCGCTGACATGGCATAGTCCTTCCTTGTTGCGTAGCAATTCGACAATGATCCCGAAATCGCGTATCTCGATAATGATGCCCTCGTAGGTGACCCCGACTTCCACGTCGCTCACGAGATCCATCACCGCCGTCTTCGCTTTTCTCACCATTTCTCTGTCGTCACCAAACAACAAACACTGGCCTTCTTGGGTTAGGTCAAGCGAGACATTGAAACGATCCTCCATTTGTCGAATCACGACACCTCCCGGTCCGAGCAGATCCTTTTTTCGCGCGGGGTCAAATTTTACCACCGAGCACCTCGGTGCCGAAGACTTTAGCTCGGGCCGGGGCGACAAATCCGAAATCACTCCTTCGGAGGACGCATCGCTCTGGGTTTTCATTTCTTCTAGGATCGCGGTCCTTCCTTCTTTTGCTAGCTGGAGTGCATCTGCCACGATAGCAAACGAAAGGGGTTGTTTCACATCCAGTTGCATTGCAGTCACGCTCTCGGCTGTACCCGCGATCTTGAAATCCATTTGGCCATAGTGGTCTTCGGTTCCGGATATGTCCAGAAGCAATTGGTACGATTCGTTGCCCGCATCTTGCACGAGACCAACGCTCACGCCTGCTACGGGTGCCGAGATAGGAACGCCCGCGTCAAGCAACGACAGCACCACCCCGCAAATAGTAGCCATGCTAGAGGACCCATTCGAGCTGGTGACTTCGCTGGTCATTCGAATCGTATACGGGAACTTGTTTGCCGGAGGGAGGATTGGCAGAATGGCCTTCTCGGCCAGAGCRCCGTGGCCGATTTCGCGCCTGCTGGCGCTCGATGATCTAGTTTGTGCTTCCCCGTTGCAGTAAGGAGGAAAGTCGTATTGCAAAAAGGCGCGGTGGCGTTCCCTTAGGGTGCCGGAATCGCCGGTTTGTTCCCGATCGGCGAGAACCTTCCTGGAATTTAGGTCGGACTCGAGGTGTTCTTGCGACCGGAGGTACCGGAGCGATCCGACGGGGAGCGTCTTGGAGGGTGCATCGGGGTTGTACTCATCGAAGCTCTCCGGAGAATCCGTGATCGGTTCGAACGGATCCCTCCGGAGGATTCCGTCTCGCGGTGGTCCGAGCGTAGTAGTGCAGAGAACCTGTGTTTCTCCTCTCGCAAACATGGACGACCCGTGAACGACACCCGGCAGGGCCGGTACGTCCATCGAAATCGGCCGGATCGTGTGGTTTCCGCCGGCACCGTTTCCGCGACGGCCGTCGGCACGGCTTTTGTGCAGGATCGACGACTCCGCCATGGCCTCCCGTAGCATCTGCGAGCACAGAGCATCCCCCAGCGTGCCAAGGATCGATTTGTTGTCCTCCAAAGCCTTCCGGTATTCCTTGGCAAGCTTCGGGTCCGCTGGTTCAAACCGCTCCAACAGACGCTTGATTTCGTTCCTCACCAGTGCTTCCCTTCTCCCCCGGATGCTCTTCCCGACCAAAGGTCCGTCCTTCTCTTCCGAGTGAATCGCTACCTTTCTCTGTCCCGTGGCTTGGTCGCYGCCAACGCTGTTTTTTTCTGTTTCCGCTCCAAACAGCCTCAGAAGCGCATCTCCCAAATGCAGACCGACGTACCCCATGGCCTCCTCGTAGATCGCATCCGCTTTGGCCCGACATTCGTTTTCTTTTGTTTGTTGGGAGGAAAGAGATGCGGCGACGTCCGACGCGTCGTCTTCGGCCACGATCCCGAGYTGTTTCCTGAGTTCGCTGTCGTCCGGGTACTCCTCGTTTTGCCGGTGTTTCATCATTTGTTCTTGCGTTTCAATGACGGGCTGAATGGCGTCGTGTGCCAGCCGCATCAGTTCCAAGAGGCGGTCTTCGGGCAAATTCCCGGAGAATTCCACCATGACGACGGAGTCCCTTGTTCCGGCGTACAAGAGCTCGCCCACGACTCCGCTACAACCCTCGCCGCTTCCGTGGCCAGGCCGGTGGTTTTGCAGCAGGGACACGGACGGATTCACGAGGACGCTCCCGTCCTCCATCAGGCACAGGACCGCCGCGGCCACCCGTTCCCGGAGCTTGTCCCCGAGTGCCAGCGACGCCGCGTTCAGTGCCAGCGGCAACGGGTGGCCGCCCCCGGCGGCCGATGCCCCGGGGCGGTCGGTCGTCGGGTAGGCCTGGATGCTGCAGGAGAGGTGGATCGGCGGGGCTTGTGTTTCTCCCCCCCCGCTGGTTCCGCAGCCGGGGCGCAGCAGCAGCGGTCTCAGCGACCGGTCGATGGCCCTCGCCGAAAGGACCTCCCGCGCCGAGGGCCTCCCATTGTCGGTCCGCAGGGAAGAGTGCGGGATCTTCCCGACCGCGTGGTGCCGCTGCCGGTAGTCCACCACCACCGCCGCCGGCGCGGTGTCCGAGCGGGAGCAGGCCCGCACCAGGGCGGCTCCGAGGCAAGGCGGCCGGCAAGGTGCTCCCCCCTTTTCCCCGAGGGCGACGGTGGCGAGCGCCACCGTGTCCCCGCTGGTCCCGACCACGGCCGCTTCGGCGAGCCCCGCGACCTTCCGTCCCGGGTCGAGCTCGATGGCGGGGGCCCAGTGGACCTCCGGGAAGGCTTCTCCCCGGTTTCCACCGGGGATGGGAGTTGCCGCCCGGTCCGGCCCGGTGGAAAGCCCCCTGCGGCCCGCGGAATCCCACCCGTGCGCCCGCGAAAATCCGCGAACGAGGCCCGGTGCCCGGAGCAGAAGCCTCCGCATGGAACCAACAAAGACAACCGTCCACTCCTGGCTGCCGGAGCGGTGTTCAAGCGGGACTTTTGGGCTGGAACGCCGCTGAACCACGGGCGAGACCGTTGCTTCCGGTCTTCGGRGGTAGGTACGTCAACGAAATCCTTCCGGAGTGGATGGTGCTCCTAGCGCATTGCAATGTCGTGCTGTGCGGTTTGGAGAGTCGGGTACGAATGCCATGCGGTACCGTACCGGATCGTTCCGTGCGGCTTTGGATTGGTTTGGTTGCCGACCTCTCAAAATACTTMCTCGTTTTTCGTTTTTATTTCGTGATGATTCTGGGGTGACACGGAAAAAATGTGATGGCGCGAGCATGAGTTTTCGGTTTTGCTACCGTACTGTGTGTGCGTAAAGGACTTATCGTTATCATTGCAGTAGGACAGGGTATGGTACGAACTTGTACGCACATCCCGTACTGTATTCGGTTACGCTTTAGGGGACCGCAGTCAAGTGAGTCAGTCAGCCGCTGCTGCTATGCGCCACAGTGTGTGTGTTGTAAAGGAAGGTTCGTAGTACCGTACATAGGCTACGTGATGTAACGTGACGTGAACTGCGAAACCTCGCCTCGGCAGGGTGTGTGTGAAACAAAACGTAAACGTGCTGGTTGGTCGACTTTCGATTCCATACCGGGTACGGACAGGTACCACTCTCTGCAGAAGCAAAAGGAACCAAGTCCGGAGCCCCATACCGTAGGTCACACCAGAGGGGTTGGACCCACCACGAACACACACTCACACTCTCCCACACACCCCGTTCGGCCGCGCCAGAGACCGACCGATCGATTGGATCGATTTGCTCGCTCGCTCGCTCGTTCCCTTCCCTCCCCTCCCCTTCCCTAAACAACCACCATGCACCCGCCGCTGGACCGGCCGCACCCGCGGTGCCAGCTAGAGATCAACGGCCTGCGGGAGTGCCACGAAACCAAGGCGAGCAAGCTGAGGTTCTGGGCCTGCAACGACGCCAAGGCCAGCCTCGACAAGTGCTTCAGGGAGGAAAAGGAAGAAATGCTCCGGAAAATGAACGCGGACCTGGACGAGAAGAAAAGGGAGGAGCAGGAGCAGGCCGCCCTGGCCTTTGGCCGGAAGGAGACCTTTCGGGAATTCCTCGCCAAGGACCCCACGTACGAACGGGAGGTGGAGCGGGAGCGGCAGCGCCAAAAAAGCTGGTTTTCCATGTTCTAGAGGCAAACCGCGGGGCCGACCGGACACTACAGACAAAACCGGGGATGGCATCCTCCGACACTAGAAATATCGCATTGCATCAATCAATCAATCAATCAATCAATTTCTACGTTTCTAAGTACTGTATTGTGGACTTTTTTGTTCGTCCTCTTTGGACGTTTCGTGCCGTACGGCATCGTTTTTTTTTGTTGCGATCCGATCGGATCCGGTTCGCTCCGCTTCGAGACAGATCCGCGTCGTTCCGATCCGTGTCGTTCCGTCGCCACCGGTCCCCGCGCACGCCGTCCCTCTTCCACACGAGAGCTAGTGCGGGGCTCCCCCGACGCCCTTCACGTAGGCGATCTGTCTCGTCTTGAGCGGGGCCCACTTCCAGCGCTTGTAGTAGCCGACGCTCAGGGCCATAAAGGCCAGGACGACCATGTACTTGCAGGCGTTCTTTTTCCGTTCCTCCGACTCCGGCTCGGCCGTCCAGCTGAGGAACTGGGCAATGTCGCGGGCCTGCTGGGAGATGGTGGCCTCGGTTCCGTCCTCGTACTCGACGCCGCCGTCGTTGAGCGGGGGTGGCATGGAGATGGCGCCCCCGGGAAAGTAGGGGTTGTAGTGGAGGCCGGGCATCATCTCCTTTCCGGCCGGGGGATCGCAGTAGCCGGTCAGGAGGGCAAAGACGTAGTCGGCCCCGTTGTGCCGGGCCTTGACCATCAGGCTCAGGTCGGGAGGGTAGGCACCCCCGTTGGCCGCCCGGCCGGCCTCCTTGTTGGGGTAGGGCGAGGGGATCACGTCGTAGGGCTTTCCGGGCCGCTCGAACATCTCGCCCTGGTCGTTCGGGCCGTCGAGAACGTCCACGTCCATGGCCATCTGCTTCACCTCCTCCTTCGTGTGGGTGACCCCGACGAGCTCGCGAAACCGGATGTAGTGCAGCGAGTGGCACGAGGCGCAGACCTCGCGGTAGACCTGGTAGCCCCGGCGGAGGGCCGCGTGGTCGAAGGACGAGAAGTAGCCCTGGTGCCGCCAGGGGTAGTGCGGGGCGTGGACGACGTCTTCCTCGTCCAGCAGGGTGACGCTTGCCGAGGCCGCCGAGGCAGCGGCAAAGGCGGCCGCCGCGGCGGGGAGTCCGTTCTTCCGGAACTGTCGGAGCGGTGCGATGCAGCGCAGCACRGRACAGCACGGAACRRAAYGGAASGGCGATTCCGAAAGGGGGCCGAGACAAAGGCAAACGGGGAAACGAATGCAACCGAGCTTGGTAAGAGGGAGACACAGAAACGCACAAAGGCACACGCAGACTGTTACGCAGACTGTTACGCAGACACACAGAGAATCGCAACCAATCCATCCCAAGCGTCAGGTTCCASAGACTCTCGAGGATTCCGCGGGATTCCGTTCTGCGCGCATCGTCGCTAGGGGTGGGCATCGGCACTTCTTCTCCTTGCCATCGATCGGTTCTTCTCTCTCTTTCCGCCGATTCCGTTGGCCTGAAGCTCTTTCCTAACTCACCATTGTTGGTAATCGAGAGGCCATCATCTTRRATCTGATCCTCTTCGCCGTGTGGTTTGGTTCGTGTTTCTGTACGTGGGTTAGGGTTGTTACAAGGGTGTTGGTGTCGTGTTGGTGTTGGTATTGGTATTGGTGCTGCAGCTGGTGCGGAGCAGAGGCGTGCGATGGTGCGAAACGGGGGAACGGAAACGGTATCCTACGGCACCGTACTCGTAGTGCTGGAACGCTGGTCTACGCCGTGCCGCCGTGCGGAGCGCTGCCCTTCGGCATTCAACCAACTCTCGTTTCGTTCCCTTCTCTTGATGTCTTTGTTCTCGGTGAAAGCGAGGAATGCGGAGCATCTGGTTGAATTCGAGGGATTTGTTCTTCCCGTTCTTTTGGATCAATCGCGCGGTCAGCGCGCACGTTCCCCGAGAGAAAGAAAGAAAAGCGGGGGTCTTCGTGACGCGCTTCGCTCGTGCTCTACGGTACTCTTCAAACGTACGGTACGTACGTATTGATTTACTCGTACAAGTAACGGTACGGTATACCCGTAGATGGTACCGGTAGATTTGGATGAATTTGTAATCTGTACTGTACGAATGTACGTACGCTACCGTGGCACGGAACGAAGGAGCACGGATTGGATTCAGTCGTATGAGTCGAGGCATAATGGAAGTGGGACAGAAAACAGAATGCTGAATGCTGACCCAATTACCAATAACCCATTCGTCATTGGTACTCGTACCCATAGCCCATGTCATTAGTACCATATCATTAGTACCATATCATTAGTACCATACCTACTCTTACTAGAGTTCTTGATCTTGACGATTCTTTTCTTAGACACTTGCCATACCGTACTAAGTAGTACTGTTGGCCTCGGTACTACCGTAGAATAGACGTACCTCCATATCAGGTATTCTTTGCGAAGTACTTCGTATGTGGCAACTGATAGCCTTATCGGTATTTCTAATGCATGCATTTTCTATTTTCTGTGAGGTGCGGGAAGTTAAAAAACGAACCCAAGGTACATACCGGCCGTACGAGTACGATTACCGTATGAAAGAGTTTTTGACACTTAAGTAAGGCACGTTCTGGTTGTAGGTACTAATWTATCCCCAACATGAAAATCTTCGTGCCGGACAGGTACGAGTACGACTCTCTACTTTTTGACGGTCAACGATAGGCCCTTTCAAGTATGCAGTGCTAGGAAGAACAACGAATAGTACCACAGCATCCACGAAGACACACAATCGACAAAGCAGAAGAAAGCTGTGGTCAATTCTGTTGGGGAGACTAACCTGATCCGAGCGGTTCGATACATAGCTTACTACGCAACTTTGCCATCAATATCAATACTATTCTGCCGGTAGGTAAGACTTCCGTCCTGCCAACGACCGACTACAGGCACAAACTCTCGGAACCATCGCCCAGCGACAAGCACCGGATTGCGCGTTGTTCGGACATACACACCACTGCGCCGCGATCGAGAGCACCAACTCGTCGCGCACCACACAGATTGCCCCGTCGCATTCTCAAAGAGGCCACGCAGTACAGCTGCGAATTTAAGGACCACCTGGATCCGACGGACGGCACGAGTGCACCACGACAGGAACTGCAACAACAAACACAGGGTGTGTGATCCATTTGTTGTTGTTTTCGGTTTGACTAGAAAAAACAACCACAAAAACCATTAAGCGCAACTACGACAGAATGTCCAGAGACGGCGGCGGCCACTCTGGCCGAAACGGTAAGTGCTTCGCTGTTCGATTGTTGGTGTCGCACTGCTTTGCCCCCTCTCCTTTGACGAAGAAAGTCGCTCACTAAGGCTCCATGCTTCTCTGTTCCAATCTGCTCGTGTTGGGGTCGTTCTTGTTCTTGTTCTTGTTCTTGCGGTGCTGCATCGAAACGAAACGAATTGCATCGTGCTGCGTCGCATCTCATCGCATTGTATTCCATTCCGTTCTCTAGACGGCAACTGGAACAACGACGACAACGGCTGGAACACACGCAGGCCGAGAGGCAACGATCGGCGCCACCAAAATAACGGTTACAACGATGGCAGCCGCCACGAGTACCAAGACCAACGTCGCCAGAACGATGGCTACGGCCAGAGGGGTGGWTACGATCGGCACCGCGACGATCGACACCGATCGAACAACCACCGCCACGGTGGTGGTGGTGGACACGGACGTGAAGGAAGGGACTACAACGACGGCTATGGTTCCTCCTACAACCAACAAGGGAGGAACTACCACGGCGGCGGTGGCAGGGGCACCTACAACCAACCCCGGGGAGGCCGGGGCTATCATGGTAACAATTTTGGCAACGACGGATACCGTGGAGGAGGAGACCGAGGTGGTTACAACAACGGTGGCGGAGGAGGACGGTAAGCAAAGCATCGTACTGTACTGTACCACGACACGTTTTATATTACAATCGATTCAACGAGATCTCCCGATCCTTGTTCGCACGATGTTCATTGTTTCACACACCCTTCTTTCGGATCGGTTTGTGAAAATGGTGAACGCTGAGGCGTCGAACCGCACCGGCTCATTTATTGCATTGTCTACTTTTTGCCGATTGCTTACCGCTTTCCTCTTCTTTTTGGATCCTCCCGCACTAAAACCCGAACCCAAACCAACAACTCTCGGGTCATCTACTGATTCGATTCGATTCGATTCGATTCACTTGGCGTGGCGTGGCACAGAGGTGGCCGTGGAGGCCGCGGAGGCAGAGGCGGACGAGGAGGAGGAAGAGGAAGGGGTGATCCCGACATGTCCGGCCTCAAATCCTGTCTTTCCAACGTCATGCTAGCCGATGTTGCGGAAAACTTCCAATTCTTTCTCTATTCGGTKGAAGTGTCAAACGAACAGGGCGAGCAAATCGAGAGCCGCCACCGCCGCAAATTCTTGTTCGATATGGGCCTCTGGAATGGCTTGTTCAAAGACATGCCCGACAAGGAGAAGGCCGACCTCCAACGCGTCGTCTTCTTTCAGGGATCCTTCTTCTACTCGGCGAGAATGATACCGGGGTTGCAAGCCAAAAACTTGCCTCTCTTGCTTCCCGTGACTCAAGAGGCAGAAGGCGACTATATAAAGGTCGTGAATGTTTTTCATTACGTGACGCCCGTGGAACTCCTCCATCCCAAGGCAGTGTCAGCACCGAAGGATTCAGAGGTTCGGCTTGACTTGCGCTGCAACGAGTGCACAAAGTGCTTCGGTGATCTTGGGTCCCTCCTGCAGCATTGGTAAGCAACATCTAGTGTATTTTGGTTCTGTGCCCGCTGTGTCCTCTGCGAATCAATGAAATAAATGTGTGGTGCACGGGGTTGCATTCGCCAAATCTGACTGCCCTTGCGTCTGTCTTCTCGTTCGTCGCGATTGCGTCGTGCCTGCTCCTCTCTGCTGACGTCGCACCGGAAGCCAATCAACCGGGCATACACCGGTCTATCCGGCGGCCGACATTGCGAGTGCTGACTGCAAACCAATTCCCTGCAACATGGAAGTGTTTAATTCCTACATCAACGGTGCTTTGCAACGAGCTCTGGGTGAACGGCTGGCCCGGTGGGGGGCGGAGTACATTGACCCCCAAAATATGAAGGAGCCGGTCGACAAACAAGGCAGACCTCTGGGAGTTCGTGTGTACGAAGCCTTCCATTGCCAGTTTGGATTCCTTCGCAACGAAGGCGAGGACATTCCGCGCGTCGGATTGACGGTGGATCTGCGAGCAAAAATCGTCCGCACGATGAGTGTCCTGGACAACCTGGCAAACGAGGCGAACCAAGATCCGGATAGGTACCGACCTACTCGCCAAGAGGAGGATCGTGCCCGTCGTGCTTTTATCGGCGAAGTGGTCATCTCCATGCACGACAAAAAGTGCTACTCAGTCACGGATCTTGTATTCCAGCATTCTGCGAACTCTCTGGTTGTCGAGGGTCTCRGCATGAGCCATGCTGAATATTTTGCTCAGCGGAAGAACATTCAATTGAGATACCCGGATGCGAAACCCATGGTTGCCGTTCTTGGTCGGAGAAATCAGACAATATACCTTCCGCCCGAACTTGTCGCCGGAAACGAACTCGAAGGCCGCGTAAAGCAACAGCTGCCGATGATTGCTAGCTACAAACCAGACGCGAGAAATCGTGCAATCGAAAAGATTCGTTCGTATCTGGTCCCCGGAGCACAGAAGAGCAAGAATGCGGGCGGGCTCTTGCCCGCCCTGGGCATTCAGCTAGCTGGCGGACGCCTCAGTGCCAAGGCCCAAGTCTTGCCAACACCGATGCTGAAGGCAGCGGGTGTTTCGATTCCACCGAACAAGGGATCGAACTGGGCTCCATTCCTTACGAAAGCAGACTTCAAGATCAATCCTTCCCAGTCAAACGAGTTGCAGGTGATCGTATTTCACAACCAAAGGATTCGTGGAGCAATTCAAGTCTACAACAAGGTTCGCAACTTCGTAAACAAATTCAATGCCACTTACCGCTTCGGTGACAAGCCTACCCAAATGATCTCCGCCGGTAAGTRAGAACCACCTGTTTCCATTCTTGCTTGTTTGTTTGCCGTTTTTGAGCCGAAAAAATTCTTCGCTGCGTTTCGTCGACTTTTTTCTAACATAACGATGTATCCTTCTTCTGTGTCTGTCGTCTTCTGATCTGTGCATTAGGTGACATGGAGGGACACTGGGGTGCGGTAGAAAAGTGCTTTTCTGATCCGTCCCTCAAAGCAGAAAATGTGTTTGTCCTTGATTTTAACAAACCCAGAGGGGCTACGGACCCTGCATACCCCGTGATCAAACAGATGTTGACGAAGAGCGGATTTCTCTCGCAATTCGTTAACTTCAATACTTATGACCACTCAAATCCGAGGGACCAGCGCCGTTCAGAAATTATTTTGAACGGTGTTGCYAGACAGATTCTTCAGAAGACTGGCTTTCGTCTGTGGTGGGTGCACATCCCCAAATCACTCCCCACTCCAACAGTTTTTGTTGGTGTTGATGTTTTTCATGCCCCTCGCATATACGATGTGAAGGCGAAGAAACGCGTTGCAAAAGCGTCTTGTGCGGCTATAATTGTGCAGGTTTACCGCAACTCGGGTGAACAAAAGGCTCAACAGGTTGAGCTGTTTACGAAGACTTTTGCAAGGGAATCCGGCAAGGAATACGATCTTGGCGACGCCCTCAAAGAAACAGTATCGGAAGCAATAAAGGAGCTCAATGTAGCACCTACTTCATGTATCGTGTGGCGCGACGGCATTGGGGAATCGGCATTTAACAATGCAGCTCAAGATGAAATCACCGCCATCCAAACAGGTCTCAACAAAACTCCGGATGGAATAGCAGATAGGGATGTCCCCATGTCATATATTGTCGCACAGAAGCGCATTTCCACAAAGTTCCTTTCCGAAGGGATCGCTGGTCAACCAGACGGCAAATATGGTGCGCCCTCTGGAACGCTCGTCAAGGGCATCCAAAGCTATGAACACGAAACTTTCTATCTGAACGGCCGTAAGTAATGTTTTTCATCTCCACCCCTTGTCGGTGTCCTTGCCTTTTCATTATGATCATTCGACATTTTCCCACCCCTAACAATTTTTATTTTTGATAGGAGCCCCGCCCTACAGTACTCCCAAACCAGTGCGTTTTATTGTGGTGAATAAGGATCCCCGTTTGAATCAGGTGCCAATCGAGGAACTAACCTGGAATTTGTCACACGACTATCCGAATTGGACTGGACCGATCAAGGTACCGAGCGTCACTCAAATGGCGCACAAGTTGGCAGAACTTGGGGGCTCTTTTGCCGACTGCGGAAAAAATATTAATGCGAAAAAGCTGAAAAACAAAGTACATTTCCTTTAATGACTGAAAACAAGTTCATTCCAGTATTTGCATCCTTAAGTATCGATTTCAGAAAGTCCTTGAATGATCTGGGCAGAACCATCTCCTACAGCGACCCTTGGCGTTACTCGTACATAAAGATGATTAACATTATAAGACGTTTAAGTAGTTATAACTCATTCGGTACAAGAGATACTTCTCACACCATCTAAAAAGAAATGARATATTTCCAAAGAAACGCCAACAAAGTGAATATCCGCGTCTTATTAATCGATGGTAATTTGTATCAGTGTCATCGGCTGAATCTTTTTACTGCGACGTGCAAACATTTCTAGCTGGTATTTTGTTTTCCCGCATTGCTGATTTACATGCCTCGATCTCCACTTCCTTCCGATGAAACATTCCAGCAGCTAGAGCCGCCTGAACGTTCGTTTTGGAAAAAACTTCTACGAAATGGTCTTCGTTACCTGCTCCGCTACTTGCGATGACTGGGATTGATACTTCACCAGAAACGGCCCGCATCAAGGGAAGGTCGAATCCGTTTCCTTGCCCATCCATATCAATACAATTCAGCATTATTTCTCCAGCACCAAGTGTCTGGCATGCCTTYGCAACTGTTACTGCGCAGATGTCTCTCTCCTCTCTCCCACCCTTTACAGTGCACTGGAACCAGCAAAATTTCTCGCCATTTGGACCAGAGCTTCCATCGTCAAGTTCAACAACAACATGTTTTTTGTCGGCATCGTCCTTACTTGCAACATACACTCGCTTCGGATCAATAGATATAACGACTGCTTGCGCCCCATACACATGCGAAATTGTCTCGATGGAAGATTCTCCCGTCTTTTCACCATTTCGCGCAATGAGAGCTTCCGATGCGTGCACAGAGTCACTGCCAATGCTGACTTTATCTGCACCAGCACGGAAGTACCTAGCGGCAACCTCAAGAGCAGACCACGTTTGGCCTGATTTTTGGTCAGTGTAGGTACGGATTCCTCCTCCTACGGTCAAAGGGACGAAGATGCTCTTTGATGCTTGTTCTAACACCTGAAGCATTGGCATATCTTCCACTACCCCTTCGCGGAAGCTAGTGATGTTCAGGAATGCAATTTCATCTGCCCCTTCATCGTAGTATCGCCCGGCTAGCCCAACAGGCTTTCCMAGATTTCGGACTCCTCCACGGCCAGTAACTGCTGCTCCATCACTTTCATTTTCCCGCACATCGTACTGATCCCCCTTTGTTACTACCAAATCGCCATGATCGTTTGTTCTAACGTCCAAAGCGACAACAATACGTTTTGCAAGCATTGTTTCGGCTTTTGGATCGACAGGAATGCTTTTTGCATTGTTTAGAGTCCCGTTTTCTACGGCCTGAATTGTTASAAGCACAGCGTGAGATCAGACGGAAGCTGAACAGAAAATATTTGTGTCATGGAACAAAATTGGTTGGCAACCAAGAAAAAGGATAGAAAATAGCTCACCTCGAGGAATCCCCTGAGAATATTTAGACCCGTTTTCCCACTCTTTTCGGGATGGAACTGAGTTGCAACCACACTACCTCTTTGAACACCGCTTATGAACGGCTGCCCGCAATAGGTAGTGCTCGTGAGAATCCACTCTTTGTTTTCGTCTGTGATAGGAGCGTAGTACGAATGGACGAAGTAGGCAGAGTCTTCAGGATTAACGTATTTCAGGACAGAGCTCTCTTTGTGTGATTTCCTTCCATTCCATCCGATATGAGGGACTACCATTTTTGTCTCATCAAATTTGATAACTTTCCCGGGGATCACACCGAGGCCAGGAATGGCATCTGCGCCTTCCTCGTGCTCGTCGCTAGACTCGAAAAGGGTCTGCATACCAAGACAAATACCAAGAAATGGTCGATCGCGAGCTGACAAATACTCTCTCATTGGTTGCTCAAAGCCTTTTTCCTTGAGAACTTTCATTGCAGATCCGTACGATCCGACACCGGGAAATATTATTGCCTTTGCCTGGGAAATTTGTGAGGGGTCAGTTATATCCTCAATTTCATATCCACACGCCATGATTGCGTTTCGGACCGAACGGACATTCCCTGCTCCATAGTCTAGCAACGAAACTTTGAAAGAAACCATTTCTTAAATTCTTTGATTATTTAATTAGAAAGGCGACAATGTGCTTGAATACAGCAACCACTCCTATAATGAGCCGACGGGTTGGGAGTTACCGGTACCGTAAGTCCAATCGGTGTGAAGTGTGATGTTGAGAAATTGCGGCGATTGAAACACAAAAGGAAAACGTGTGACGATGGAAAGTTGAAACGTGAGCACACTTCCTCGCATCCATATGTATGTGTGCATCGTACAGCGACCAGACGTTGGTATCACTGAAATTGTACAGTACGTAGTAGAAGTACGTACGTACTAACTGAAACTATTAGTAGTACTTGAATAGCTTTGGTTTTGTATTGTATCGTACTTCACGGAAGTTCTACGTGTTTGTACTCATATTCTGTGCTCGTACTATTCGCAAACTACGAAGTACAGTTACAAGCAGTAGTACTTCTAATGATTATGAATCGACTTCATTAACCGGAATACCTTCTGCATTGGATGAGAGACAGTACTACTTCTCAACAACTAGTAGTAATACTAGGAAATGACAATACACTCTCAAGAAGTTGATTGTTTGTAATATGAAACATTTCTTCTTTCCATAGGTACTAGGGAGGTAAGAGATACAAATCCAGTTTTACAGAGTTGATTGTTTGCTTCACTAGCCAACAGGATACAAAAGTTTCGATAACAACGAACGTTGATATCAAAAGCTTATCTTACACATTGCATTGTAGTCAGGAAAAAGTTGACCTATTAATTATCACAACGGTTATTTTACAAACCAAGATTTTCACAAAAATGAAACCAAGAAAATAGCGATGCGTTTTTGTTCGAAAGCGCAAAAAAGTTGAATGATGACGAGTTGCTTGATTTCTCCCAAGGATCCCCTTTGTCCAATGAGGGAGAATGACAGAACAAGTCACCGAATAAGTGTTGGAAACAAATCCCAATCTTGTGTACAATTTTATTATCTTGAGCTAGCTAGCCCTTCGTGTCGCTCACTGCTTGCCCTTGATTACCTGACGGATTGTTCCAGCTTGCCTTGGGGTGCATAGCCGATGGAGCTTGACGGGGATTTGAATTCTAAAGAAAACGGAGTGTAAGAGTTTGAATGATTGCAGAAGGATTTTRRAAAGGGATAGGAGGCTCTTTACTTAGGTCTTACCTCTTCCGTAGGAATGGCCAAAAGCGCAGATTCAATCGGAACTTGGCAGATCGGACATTTTGGTTTTGCACCCATAGATGTCTGAAGACTTGATTTCAGACATTTTTCATGAAACATATGACCACATGGACGAAGCTGCGTGTCAATGTTTGTCAAATGGCAACTTGCACATTTGGTCGCCGAAGGCACTGCGACAGAACCACCAGGATCGGATTGAGCAGAGGGTTGCGCTGGATATTGGTAACTTTCCTTTTCAATGCTTGGAGCTGGCTTGAGAGGCGACGGCGTGTACTGATATGGAACATATTGTTGAGCAGGATGTGATTGCTTCTGCCTTTTTTCTTCCTGCTGTCGCATGAAATTCTGCGAAAGCGTCCTCTGCATTTTAGCTGGGAGAACCAGATCCGTAAGCTTTTCGCTACTGCGGCTCACAGACATAAGACCCCTAGCCGCCATCGCGTCATCGTATGCACGCTTTAATGTATCACTACTATCCGTTGCAGTTTTGTCGGCTGCATAAGGGTTGTTCGAGGCAAATCCAGTGGAAGCGCCTGTAACAGAACTACCAGGCTCTTGTTTTATACCGTGCGCAGTTGCTGCGGGCGATTCATCTTCTAGCGATAATCCAACGTTATTGTCTTCGTCCCTCTCTCTCTTTAAACTCCGCTGTATCCCAGAACTAGCACCTCCCATTGAGCTTAGATTATTTGAACTTCGATCGCCAAAAAACACTTCAAGAAAAGCATACGAGTCATTCTTCCCCATAGATTCAACACTTTTCACTTGTGCTAGGTTTCCTACGGTGTTCACGGGTCCTTGTTTGGCGAGGTCTGCAGCACTAAGACTTGTAATGCTCTTTACGCCAGGCATTGTTCCGAGATTATTTAACGATGAAACGCTTGAAAAATGGGGCCACGAGTTCAACGTTGGAACATTAGGTAGACGGCTGTGTGAAGGGTTCTTCATTGGGTGCTGATTGGACAGTGCTTGAGCTAGCTGTTGCTGAGGAATACCTGTATGTACTTGGTTGGTTACACCTTGTATTTGGGGTTGAGGAGGAGCTGGTTCCTTTCTCGGTGTAGATTCTGTGGCCTGACGTACAAGATCCTGATCTCGAGCAAAAAGCTCCATTAAGACTGCATGGCTATCTGTTTTGCTTAATAATTGAGCGCTCGACGCAGCAATCATACTTGAGGGGGCACTGATATTTTTGTACGCCGATGCACCAGGATCGCTGTATGGTGCTGGCACAGGAGCTGCAGGATGTGTCTGATATATCCGGTTCCCGTGCTGATCAACTTGAACCTACGAAGGGAAAAGATGAAGAAACAATCCAAGCATACCAGTGAGGATAGGATAAAAGTTGATGTAACAGGTGMGTTTATGCCTGGAACCATTTTGTTGATTCCACTGCAAACGGCCATGATTGAACCGGTGTGCTGCTAATGAAAAAGTTGTTCGCACCTCTTGAACAGCTTGAACTGGTTGAGGGAGAGGAGCAGCCCCTGATTGACCGGGCATATTTGTTACCATCAAGCCAGGGACTACACCTGGTACTGCAACCCCGCCACTCGTCCCAGTCGTTGCAAGCTTCCCCTGCTCTAGTTGCTTCTTTAGCATTGGTTTCCATATCCTCCGACGAGCATTTGTGAACCAATTCTTAAGTTGTTTTTTGTCTATGCCCGTCTTCTGCATCAACATGACCTGGTCTTGTGGAGTTGGGTACGGGTGTGTGAAGTGCTCTGGTGACAAAAGCCATGCTTTCAATGTTGCCACCGCTCCGGTTGGGAGCTCTCTTCGGCTTTTATTTCGGGGTTTGCTCCCACCACCATCGTCCTCGTCAGAGTGAAAGTTGTCTGTCATMGCTCGAATAATGCTTGGTAAATCTTCCTATCCGTTCGAACGCCCCGCTCAGAAGTTAAGGTTTTGATTGTTGTGTTTGTTACACTTGTATTCCTTTTTGTATCATCAAGGATCAGGTTATGTATCGTCTGCCTGCGTCTATGCCTGGACTGTCCCGCAACGAGTTGTCTTGTGTTTCTATTGGCACGTGGTGTCAACCAGGCAGGGTGGAAATCCGAGAAGCTGGTAATGACTGACTTCGCTATGTATGAAGAAGAGTCTTCTTAATAGCCACACGGAACTTGAGTAGAGAGATAAAGCGACAAAGTTGAGGGTGAGACCTTTCTACTGATTCGCCGTGTACGGTAAGTTGTTACTACTCAATACATAGAACAAACTATCACTGTCGACCTTAGTCCTTTACTTTTCCCCTTCGTTACTTGTGATCTGCGCTTGCGTAAAAGGCAGCTCTGCCTCATGTGTCAASGTGAGAAATTCGTGGCCAATTGGCTGTTATCTGTGTGCACGCTCGCAGAAGAACCCATATTCTCGCAGCGTTGACACCTATCGCGCGGTTCGCGCTGAAATTTCAAAACTTTTCATCGAGAAAACTCTGTTTGGTTGTGTCTGGTCAACGTCGACACCGCTGGACAACCTTGGACGAAAGAGGATAGATTGAAACGCATCTTCAGGCCTTCGATACACCTTACCTTAGAAGTCGCAATGCGGAAACCGTGCTCAAAGCAAGTAGATCTGTTGTTCAGTCAAGCGACAATGCTCACAATCGATAGAGAGGAAGAGATTGTTCACCTTGTTGGTCGTAATTGTGGCGATGTGCAGCCGATGTGCGAAAACGCGCAGCCGTTTGATCGCCTCTGTTCCGTATGATCGGATTTGATTGGATTTATGATTTTCGCGTCGTTCGTTGATTGCTCTCCATATCATATGTATCACTGGTATTATTCATATTTTAGTATAGTTTGAACCATAATAATCATATGACTACACGTAGGACCTATCATCTCGTCCCTCCGTCGCTCTGTTTGAGGCTTTGTCACCACTCTTTTCAAACTAGAAGAACGCATTTTCAACAAATAGAAATGGCGCGTATCTGCTATGTCCAATGCCCATTATCCACGTATGATGCCTTTGCATTCCAAAAGGGTTCGTACTAGCCAATTGTTTTCTTTTTTTTTGAGAAAATAGTCGACTTGGAAAGTTGAAGAGTGAATGCTTCTCTCGTCGCTGGAAGAAAAACCTCGGATCATTTTTTCTGTCGTCTCATCACCAACGACTGCAACCAAACAAAAGGTTCCACCGTGAACAGTATCATTWTAGTAGAATTCATCATAATTATCGAATAGAAGAGGAGCGCCTGGGTGTCGCTCTGCCATCCGTCATTTTGATCCATCGCCCTGGGCTTGTTCGAGAACGGGCACGTCCAGATAAGGAGTCACGTACCGTTTTCTTTTGGTTCTACCATTAACATTGCGGTGCAGAGATGGAGACGTCGGGAGCTGACGAATGCCAGGCTAGACGCAATGGGAGTGAAGAGATGCATTCCGAAAATGATTGTTCTTCTCTGAAATCCGTCGCTAGCATGGACTCTTCAAGTTCTAATTTATCCTCGTCACAGGATGTTAAATCAAACAATTCTCACAATGGCAATATTAGTGAACTCGTGGGAAAGTCGAAGAAGGCTGCTTTTTCGTTGTGGACCTTACTTCACGCCAAGGTATGTTGCATGGTTTGCTTCTTGGATGTTTTGAGAAAGAATAATTTACGAAAAATCTGAAGTCGTTGTAGTGTATACGCCCAAATGATGTTTGCATCCTCAGTCACGAAGAAAACACTCAACTTTTATATATTTTTCCTGGCAAAAACAGAACTGCAGGCTTGGGGTCGATCGATGTTCACATCCAGGTTGCGCCGAGGCGAAACTGATGTATCTTCATCACAAAACGTGTGCTGCTGTTTGTACAGAAGCATGTCCGACGAACCACAAGGGATGTCAGGATGCTAGAAAGCTACTGGCTCACTTCCGTCGTTGCCGTGATATAAGGGCAAGGCAATCTCAAAATCCAAATAGTAAAAACAAACAACAGCACGTTTGTCTCATCTGCTCATTGGTTGCCCGTCATGCAAAGTTCACGTTGGACCGACATGCGTCTAAGAACGTAGCGAAGAACGGAACAACTTGCCATTACATTCCATCTCTCAACCTAAGCTTTGATTCGTGCAATGGTAKAAGAAATCGATCACTTTCAGCTGCAACTTATTTCTCTTCGAGCAATGAATCTTCTCAAAAACCTCGCTTCGCCTTTTCTAGAAGGCCAAGCAGTTCTAGTGATGGCGCTGGTGCTGGATTTCAGGCCTTGCAGGCAGCTGTCTCATGTGCTCTGAGCTCAAGCACTCCGGCGAAGTCTGCAGGTGGAAGAGAAAAATCAGTTGGGGAAAGACAAAACTTTCAACGCCCTCGCGCCGAAAGTCTGGATGTGCGAAGGTGCCAACAGCAGAAAACGCAAGAGAAGAACATGAGTTACCTTTATCTCGCTGCAGTCGACAACTTTTCAGACGACCTTCCGCTGGAACTTCCAAAGAATAATGTTTCGAGTGCTCGACGGCGTAGCCTTTCTTGCTCTGTTCCATCAAAAAACAACAAACAATCAGCTACGGGTGGCAGCAATACGATACTCCAAAAATCAACGATTGCAGAAGATCTTCAATACATCTTGGGGGGGGGCACGTAACGTGGTACGCTGCAATAGATTGACACTCAATACCCGAAATCAATATTTTTGCTAAATTAATTAACTTTTTCTTTCTAAAACCTAAAGATGTTTTGCGAATGCAATCCTTTCAAGTATTTCATAGTAAAAAATCACGATACTATACGACACAAAATGCAGTTATTATTACAGGAAGAAATCAAAAAATATGTTGTGTTTATTACGCAGTGTGGTGGTGGGGTTCGTGAGGGAGAAGAGTTACGCCATCTTCGAATTTGATTGCTCGGAAATGGAAGTCGGGAGAAAGAGCATCCCACCATTTGAAATCGCACGTTGTGGAAACAGGTCTTGCATAAACATAGCATACCTCGTCGCTATCGTTTCTATATCCCTCTTCGATATAATTATCAAACACGAGAGTTTGCACCAGTTGCTTGATATCGTCCACACCTAAYTCAACCCTACTGACTTTTGCTTGCTCYGTCTTTTTCTTGATTTCAGACAGTGTTACCCCTTTCCCACCATTGAGTTTTCTCACACAGTGCATGACGAAGGTACGGAGTTCTGAGATAAACTCATGGTCAAACTCGAGGCCTGAATACCAAACACCTCCAGTGATCTCTTTTGAAGGAGTCAAGTCATATAACATGTATAGCTTTTTCGCTTTCGCATTGACTGATTTGACTGGCTTGATAAGACAACGTTGTTCTAGCTGTTTGAAGGTCTTGTTCAGGCCCTGTAGTTGCAATCCGGTCTGCATTCGAATTTCCTTGGTCCATATCCCATTATTACCAGCTTTTTCAATGCACTGTAAAACCATTTTAGCAGAAACATCAAGACCGATGTATTTTTGAGCGACTTCGTCCGAAACTAGGGTATAGTATAAATCGTTGTCTACTCCTGACTTTTCCATTTTTAGTTTGGATGCCTTCGAGAGTTCATTGATTACTTGTACGAGCAATGGCTTCTCTTCTGCTTTGGGAAATGCACCTTGTATTATTTTGTTCGATGCCCCTAGCTTGTGCCTCGGTTGGCCCAGTAAATCCAGGAAGCGCTGCATGACACCATCCTTCGGAGATTTCCTCCTTTCGTCGGAACGCGTATTTGATTCCTCCTTTATTCTCACGGAAACTCCCTTTCTCCTCTTCGTTCCTGGTACAATAATACTGCTCCCAGCGGGTCGCTTCTTTGGCGGCATCTTTGAAATTTTTATCGCAATTGGGTCCTTGTATATACTGGGACATCAATCGCTATCTGATACACCGRACGCAAAAAAAGGTTTTCAAGGTATTTGATGACATCCTTGCCGTGTTAATCCAGAAAAAAAATTCTTCAATCCCTTCAGCATGAGATTTAATGCGTTTTGATGGTTGTTGCGTTCTGGGCGTTGAGCGTACSGTACGGTACCTGCACTGTACTGACTGCCGTTTGCGTGTCAAATCACTTGAAGACGGTCTGGCCTGCGTCGTAGAGTTCACTACTAGAAGTAAGGACTTCTTGAGGCATTGAATCAAACATGATAACTTCAATATCAAGTGCTTTACTACTAGCATCTCAATATTGAAACATTGCAGTAGCAGTAGCAGTAGCAGTAGCAGTAGCAGTAGCAGCCGTTCTTTTTAACCATGTGCTTTTCGTCTTCATGCATCCATTGTGGAAAAAGTTATTGCCCAAACTGTCAGTTCAAGACTAAAACAGCAGTTATACGGTTAAATTACACGGTGCAGGGATAACTGTCCATCTAATTACCGTGTTAAGACTKCTTGGACTCAACAAGTACTAGTAGCTAGTAATCCAAGGAAAAACAGCATGATATTCTTACTATCACCACCASCAGCTTCATTGTTACTGGTAGTAGTACACAAAAAATCCAAGCTACTACTAGTACTACTAGTACTAGTACTAGTAGTAAATAGTAAAGCTCACTTATCATGATAGTTGTCCTYAGCAGATGTTTGTACTAGTGGATCACTTTGAATTTTCATCTGAGTAAATGTCAAGTACAGCATGTAGTACTAGCTAACCATAAATTTGACTTTTCTTCCTTCTATTCCTACTAAATGTATGATACCACAAACCTCTTGGTTACACTGGAACACTTCTGCACATGAAAAATAACATAATGACAACTCTGTTCCTCCTGTTCTTCTAGGCAGCTATTGGTGTTTTAACAATATAATATTTCTCTTGTTGTGTCACAGACTCCCACCCCCTTACAACAGGTACTCTCCTGCTGAACTCCACCACAACACTCTAGCCCCCCAAGTTGGGGGTGCACTACTGTAGTAGTACTAGATGATGCTACTACTATAAAAAGGATGAATGAAACAAAAAGCACAGTACCACCAAGAGAACCACATTATATTCCAGAACAAGAAGAAGAAGGAAGAAGGAGAGAGATGGTAAAGGTATCTCAAGACAACTTCTTCATCATCTCAGTGACAACAATGAGGAAGATTGCTCCAACTACCTCCACCAGCATTACTTGTATTCTACTATTACTACTACTACTACTACTAGTAGTAGTAGTAGTAGTAGTAGTAGTAGTAGCATGGTACAAAGTAGTAGTAGCTAATGTATTGTGTCCTCATTTGAATTGAAACTTCGAAGTTCTTGCAGAGGTCATGAACCATTGTCTTATATGTTGTCTACAACTACTGCTATGTACTCATAAGTCGGGGTATCAAAAGTTGAACAGTAGATCACAGGTGGTCATCATGGGTTATTAGAGTGGTTTTGGCATTCATTTAGAGTGAGAAAATGCAAATTTGCAACTAAACATCAGATTAAGACCTAGTTTTTGGTAGAATTTATCTTAACATCCTAATGAACATGTTGGGTTCAATGGGTAGTTGGRTCATACAATTTTTATGCTAAAATTACTACTGGTATAAGTAGGAGGTCCAACTACTACTAGTACCACCAGCAGTAGTAGTACTACTAGTAGTAGTGCTAGTAGCAGGATCGTTACTACTACTAGTAGTAGTACTAGCTACTAGTACTACCATATACAGATTTGCTTCTACTGACATTGAGGATGATTCTGGTTGAGTGATTTTAAAATATGTATTGTTAGTAGTAATAGTAAGAGCAAGAGTAAAAATAGTATTGTTCTTGTTAAGTAGTAGTAGTAGTAATTATCCATTATATTTCAATTCCCATTCACCAGTTGGATTTTTAGTGATATTGTCTGATGGTTTGAGAGCAATAGCATATACGTCCGAAGTGCTGCTTCAAAGAGATAACATAGATGTCTGTATTTCCTGTTTGCCAAACTGTCCTTATAGGAGCTCTTCCATGGTGGCACTTCTTCCTCAGACCAATCAAGAAACAATGATAAGATCTTGTCCCTCTTGCTCATATCCATACCTATCCCAACTCTCTGATGGATATCTTGCAACATCCCTTCCCTCCCTTCCACCTCATTGGCGATGCTCCTGTCTGGATACCACTTGTGAAGTCTCCTTTGCTGAGATAGAGGCTTCTTCCTACTTTAAAAAAAATCTGCTATGTGAGTCTTCATTCTTTCACCAAACTCAGAACGACTAAATAGACCCCTGGGCCAACCTACTGGTTTTGGCGGGGTGGACAACCTGCTGCTGGGCCATGCTTGGTGTGATGACTCAGCCTGATCTTTAGGTAACTATTTCCACAATTAATGCTTTCATACATATAATTAACGATTTTTTTCTGTGAGCTGTCTTTCAAGAAAGAAGCATTAAAGGAGAACCTATTAAGTAACAAAAWTTTTTTCAATTAAGGAATTTTTTTACACAATTAATGATATCAAAAAATGACTACCAAGTCAGCAGTAAAGGAGAACCTCTTAAGTAACGAATTTTTTTTCCTATTTAACGAATCCAAAAAAGATAAATTAATGCACTTAACAGTATCCTTGATAATTATCAGGCACTAACATAATAATATTTTAAACTACTTAACGGGCTATATCAGACTTCACTTACAATTATCAAGCCTATGTAATTCAAAAATCAGACTCCTTAAGTATATTGGGCAACTRCGCATGCATTGTGTGAGCACTTGGTGTTTGTGTGTATTTGTGTGTCTTTGTGCAACGATTTCAACACATTATTTTTGACATTTTCCTTTCTCATTAATTTTCCATTTGCGACAATGAAAACCAAAACAAGAAGATAGTCAAGAAGACATTGGTGGTCCCTCCAAACTACACTCCTCTCTTGCAGAATAATTTATTCTGAACCACACTCTCTTRCAGAATACTTTCTTCCAAACCACACTCTCTTGCAGAATACTTTCCTCMAAGTTGAACCAAGACCTTTCTGCTTCAAAATGACAAAACAAAGAATGAGTGCAGCAGAGCGCAAAGCTGAGAGGCAGGTTGGGAGAAATGCTGCTGCTGACATACAGTATTTATTCAAGGATCCAAAGCATGCAGAGTGCTGGCAGAAGAAAATGGCAGCCAAATGCAAGGCTGGAAAGATTGTTACTTCAACAACAAGTAAAGGAGTCAAGATCCACTTCCTCAACCCAAGTCCTGGTGAGAAGAGTGAATATGGCAATTGGGAAGGCGGAGTGAAATACAATATGGTCTGTTGTCATTGCGGTGAAGGTTTGACTAGTTTCACAATGATCCCAAAACATGTTGGGCAATCCATTTGTGCCTGCCCTTTTTGGGACAAAAAAAGGAAAGAAGAGAGAGCATCAGCAGCAGAGAAATCAATGTGGAAGAATAATTCCAATGAACCTCATGTTGGAGAAGAAGAGATAAAATTGGCAGCAAAAGGAAAAAAACCAGACAAGTTCCACAACATCTTTGATGAATCATGCAGTGAGGATAGAGATGACGACCAGGATAGCAAGGATGATCAGGCCTCTACTCCTCCTGTAAAAAAGAAAAGAAAGTCAGGCAGAAACAAACAACCCCGGAAAAAGATTGACAGTTCGTCAGACACCAAAGATGAKKACCATGAGAGCACTCTTCCACCTCCTCCTAAAAAGATGAAACCCAAAAAAAGGGTTTCAAAAAAGAAACTTGCAAGGAAAGCACCACCAAAGAAGCCTCATTCAAGTGATGATCATCCTCCATCTCTCAGAGTCAGCAGCAGAATCAAGAACAAGAAGGCTTTGAACCAAGAGGTCATGACCAATGAGCTCAGATCTGTCTGAATCAATCAAAATCAATTTAACATTTAAGTACTTAGTAATATTTGTTCCGAATACAAGTAATTGTTCTGAATAAATTATGCACATTCCATCTAATACCAAACATTTTCCAGTGAACCTTGCCAATTACAGCCATGATATGGCTGCATGGATACTTGTTGCGTACTGCCAAACCACAGCTACAACTAGCATATTTCATGTCCACAATGCGTACTTCTCGGATCCTATAGAAATTGGGAACTGGGATGGAAGAGGCCTTATCAACAGGAGGAAAGAATACAAAAAACTGATCCTCTGAGACACATACAACTCTGCACATTTGTGACTGGTTCCACTGCTCCATAGCTTTTTTCTCACAAAAGTTGGTCAGATGATTCCGGGTGCCCAATGTTGACCATAGATTCTTTCTCTGCACTTGCTGCGCATTCAAATTTGCTACTCTTTTGCCCTTCCTCTCTGCTTTGTCCATCATCAGTGTTGCAGACCTGTCTACTCCCATTGATGMAAATACTTTGTCATACCCTGATTTCATGGAGGCATGAAGGGCCTCGCCAATTGATGTAGTTCTCTGAGACATTCCTCCAACATGGGTTCGCTGGTAGTTCAACCACATGTGGTCATATGGATCTAGATTTTCATGCACCCAAAGTCTGATCTTCTGAACACTATATTCTGGGAAGGTCTTGTTTTCAAGTGAAACTCAACTGATTGCATTGTAATGCAAGCTCCTTCTCTGATCTGGACATTGATCTTAAAGATACTCTTAACTGCTCTGGCTGCATTTTCCAGTGTCCATTGTGTCGGCCAACATTGGCTCTAGTTGGTGCCAATGTCCACTGGCCAGAGTGATTTTTGGAAGGAACAGTCATACTCAATATCATTGCAAAGTTACATACATCATCTCTACAAAGAGGCCGCCTCGTGCTCGTTTTTCTTTGATTTTGAACATTCTTTGTCTTCTCATATGGCCTATTGTGCTGGCAGCACAACCTGATATATGCTCCAAATTTCCCAGATTTTGCCAACTCATTCTGACTTTTTGAAGACCTGGTTACAAGTAAGAAGCCAGTCTTTATGCTTGCCAACTTCAAGGACATAATCAACATGGATTGTTTGTCATGGCCATCAAAGTGAGAGGGAAATGTGTAGGACTTTCCTYTCCTGAAAAGGTCAGACAGATTGAACAACACAGGATCTTCACTTTCCTTCTTTTGTGGATCAGGTATGGCAACATTAAATACCATATCACATTCCCAAGACTTGCCTTCTGACATCAAATTCTCATAATCATCAGTTAGTAGGTTGGTGGTGATGGTGGCTCCACTTTTCGTAGGGGGGTTTGTAGTCATGCTGGTAATATTGC